TCAAGGTCAATTTACTAAGTGAGAAGCTTATCTAGAGCAAACACAAGGCAATCATAAAATAATTCGTGTGACAGCTGTTTGTGCGCCCACCGTGTGTTTGGCTGCTAGACCGGGAACAAATATCGCGTATTTGGTGGGGAACGTTTGCTTACTTATCGGGGATCTACATCTCTCGGCTAGTACGCGTGCTGTATAGGTTTGAAGATGGGCAGCCCAAGAAGCATGATTTAAAGGAAATCAGTTCTTCGGGGAAGTTAATAAACTTCATTTCGTAAGTTTTCCCCACCGGTTCCGTGGGTAGTGGTCAGACGCGTAGCAAATATGCAAGACAGTTGCATTTTAAACGCTAGCCCTCAAACTATGTAATGCCTGATTATTGTTGCCATTGAAACAGTCAGATAATGGATCCAGCAACTTATGCTCTTGCTCTTCCGCCGCATCTTGTCGCTGCAAAAAATCAATAATACATAAGATAATGCAATTAACTTAAATTCGTACTGAAAAAATCAATACAAAGTATCAGGGTCATGATTTAGTGCCGAACAGGCGGATCAATAGAATTAGTAACTTAAAACACCAGATGAGAAGCAGTAGTAGTAGGAAACCAATTAAGGTAAAATGACAGGGGAACATGTCTACAGCTAGGAGCTAGCGGTTACCACGGCAAATTTAGGTTGACCGAGTGCTCCAACTGGTTTCCCTCGCCTTATATAGGCAGCTTCCAAGCAGTGCAATTTACGAGTCAGGGGCACCACCAACTCCTATATTGCGCTACTTGGAGGTGGCCATATGCTTCCTATATGACGTTTCAAGTTACTAGTTCTACTGAACAGCCTGCATGGCATTAACCCATAACCTTGTTTTGCATTGATTTTTTTCTGCACGAATTCAAATTGGTTATACTCCCTCACATTCCCCATCGCAACCAACAAAAACAACGGACCCGTAACTCAATAATAGCGTGTTGCACTCCAGGACTAAAGGTTCGCGGGTTCAAATCTCGAGTGCTCTACACTTTGGATTGGGTATGAACGGCTGATGACGGCTAATAAGCCAGAAATGGCCATTCCGGTCTCCCTAGTCTTTGTCGGTTCCAGTCCATTACTCTCTCATTCGTTAGGATGCAATTGATGAGCAAAACTACAGTTTGTTGGGTTTAATAAATTCTTCATGACGATTAAGAAATGTTTTAAATATTTGAAACAACACCCCGTCGAAATTATTGAGTATCTAGAAGAGCTTTTGTCATTGTGCTGTCAATAATTCATTGCTGTGGACTGACGTCCCGTTCATATTGGTTGTCGTCCCTTCCATTTTATGTTGAGATTGTTGTACGTGGCGTCTATTTCGCGGTGCCGATTAATGCATACGTCATCGGAATTTATGGTTCCCAGAAATTCTCGGTCTTTCTTAGATGAACAATGCAAAATATTCGTCTAGTTTCCAGCGTACGTATGATGACAACTTCGGACAAAGGGCCTTGCCTCTTTACGACTACTTAATATTCTTGTAAGCGTGTAGAAGCCAAGTTCCTAGTTTGGCCACAGTACCTGCATTACAGGTGCTCCATGGATTGTTGCAGACGACTTTCTCATCTAAGTAGTCAATCCTATCTTTAAGGCGTATAAGCTGGTTGTGCAATGCAGTCCCCGGTTTATGTGCCATTCGTATTTCCAGGTACGTCTTCTTTGCCCTTCCCATTCTTCCTCAGGGGTAGATATTTCTGCGTGGACGATCTCTCAGTTTTCGCGGATACATCAGAACCCCCCTCCCCTCTTATTTAGGGCATCGCGGTGCTTCTTGTTCCTCGGTGTAGACAGGACTGCATTGAAGTGCTTAAGGAAGTTGTCTGGTTAGTGGGCGCCTCTAGCGACATACTGTACGATTTGGCGGTCTTGACTCTTAGGGCACACAGGCGTTATAATCTATACCTGCATTAGAATCGTTTTTTTTCAATGGTTTACCACCTTTGTTTAAAAAACATATTTTTTTTTACTGATGACATGCATGTTCTTATTCTCTCTTTTTGATCTTTTCAGGAATGTACGTACCTCTTTTCTTTGTATGCGACATCGCCGAAAGCTTTGACATTCCAAAGAGTCAGTCATCCCTGTTGCTGACCTGTTACGGTAAGTAGACGCAGCTCCAACTCAGTATACGAAAAACACCTGACAAATGTTAATATTTCTTTGACCCTATTGTGAAAAATGCAGTGACTCCGATGGGGCTCAGACTTACGGCGGCAAGTACAATATTTGTATATGACCAATAGCCTAACAACCTGAACTATGAGACCCCGATTGAAGGCCTTAATTTGAATCAAACTTGAGTAAATTCAATCGCCCAACTTATTGCAATTTATGAAATCCACTAATACTGCTACAACAAATTGACTCAGAAGGAGAAAGATGCTATCACGGAATCTTTTCGTATCAGGATTACGATCGAAATTTTCCGTCGTAAGTGCTTCCTGGGACTCGTCTGTTGGCTTCTATCAAAAAGTTAACTGCCTAAGCAGGATTTCCTAAGCAGTCCTCCAGGTAATACTATGATAAAATATTTCCCAGCTCTGCGAATTCGATATAGATTGAAAAATTTATTTATTTATCAAAGTCACTTTGCTCACAGTGCTTCAGTTTATGTTTGTCCTGGTAACCTATGTCAGGGTAGATATTAAAAATTCTCTTTTATCCGTAGAAGTATTATTAGCATGCTCATGAATAAACCGAAGAACTTTCACTCAGTTTTGCAGATCTATAACAATTTAACACATCCAACAAAATTCTCGATTTATTTCCACACATGGCGTGCAGTTAAATCGTTTTTATTTCCTATGCATAAAAAGCGGACGATTGTACAGCAATCCTGTAAAGTTTAAAACCCAACAACCTATATCCGCCATAACTATTATCATGGAAATAATCAGAGTTTCGATTTGCTCAGATTAAATCTAAAAACGTTTGACGCGGCGGCCTTTTTTCCTTAACGGACAGCATAAGTGCGGGAAATTCGTGCAGTTTGTGAAACTTCGTATTACGCTTTTTCAAAAGGTAGAAGGCTGTCAACGACTGTTTGTTCCACAACAAGATGAAAAACTGCCGTCGCAGCGACAGCAAACAGAATTGGTCTTTTTAATTGTTAACTTTTGTCTCATAATCGCCACGCACCCGTGTTCTGTATTTTAACCTCGAAGCTTCTCCTCCTCCGTTTAGGTGCTACCAATGCGTTCAGTCGTCTCTTCTTTGCCTGGGCGGCTGGTCAACCAAAGTTCAACTCCCTCTTGGCAACGACGTTCACCCTAGTCATCTGTGGTCTTGCAGTCTGCATCATACCCTTCTGGGGCACATTTTATGGTCAACTGACGTTGCTGGGCGTATTTGGCTTTTGTCTAGGTGAGTTACTTTTGACACCCCTCTAATGGCTGCGGAAAACATTTCCTATTTTTCAGATTTATGCTGTGACGCATATTAGACTTGCTAGATTAATCGTTAGACAGACAGGTAGGGCTGTCTTGTGGGGCCGCCTTAATTTAATTCCGCCTGCGTAAGGCTGCCTGAAGTTTAACTTCCGCCGGCCTAAGGTCGAATTTCCACCAACAGGAATTGTCTACTATTCTCAGTCGATCATAAGTATTACCTTAGATTCCCTCTCAGTTCGACTTGTTTTCAATTTATGTGTTTGAAATTTCTCTGTCATTTGTTGTTTCCCAGAGTTATCTAACCAATCCCTACCCCTTAACCCTTTCCCTCAGCACCCTTCTACTCGCTGACGTCAATCGTCCTATGCGAAATTCTCGGCTTAGAAGCGCTGACGAATGCCTATGGACTGATAACGCTGCTTCGTGGTGTCTCAAGCGCCGTAGGATCGCCACTTGCAGGTACTCTTCCTTCCCTAAGAGAACAGTCTTCATCCGACTCTACTTTGCGCCCGTCCAGCGCATTTTGCCTCTTTAAATTCAGCTATGCATTTTTTTCATGACTCTTCTGTTTCCCCCCGTTTGTGTTGGCTGCTTGATAGGTAACTATCCCCCCTAACGTGATTTGCCCTGGCTGGATGGATGCTTTGCGTATAGATCTCATGCGCGCCGCCTCATTATCAATGGCGGTGTAAAGCAAAAGGGATCATGTTGTCAGTGTCGGTTAGACCGGAGCAAACAACGGTTTCCGCCGGTAACTGGCCAAGGATTTAATTTGTAGCGGTTGCAGAGATTTACGCGGCATCTACCACCTCTTTCTTATCCCCCCCTCCCCACCCGCCTCGGACCGGTATCATCGCGAGAAAATCAGGATGAGCAGCGATGGGATCGGGCTATGTGGTTGACGAGGTTAACCAGCTCGTCTACACGTGCCACACACAAGACCTGATCCGCGCAAAATGGCTCAAGGCTTCACAGAAACAAGGGAGCGGCTCGGATCTTATCTGATTGGTGGTCGTAGAATATAGGCCATTCCCCTAGGAGGAGCCATTGTACCCTCAATCTCTTTTCTGCGAGAGGTCTAAGTTTTCCCACGACCCACAAGGCAGCCTTCGAAACCTAGTGGGTCGTGCGTGTTTTAAAGCGCCTCAGCTTGTTTATAGTTGAGGGCCGCCATTAGTTTCGTTGGCACTCT